TTCTCGTCTCTTTTCCCTTGATCAGGTGAAGATATAGAGACCAGCCATGGAACTCATCCTCAGCAGTGGATGCAGTGAGATTCATACCAGCAGATTCATCAACCATTTTCCCCACTAACAGCATCCTTTTTGGATCTCCTCTTGGAACTAATACCATTAGCACTATTCTCGAGAATAAACTGGATGATTTGAGGAAGGTGGAATAATGAACAAATAATCTGGACGTCCTTGATGCTTTGTACCTTGATGCTTTGTGCAGCTGACATGTTTCCTAAGATACACAGCCTCATGTGACAACCCAGAACTACACAAATGTGAGGTCTACTGAAGTCAATATTCACGAAAGTGCTGCTCAGTCTTACTCCAGAAAATGAGTAGTCTGACCAAGCTACACTTCCAGACTATAGGGCCCAAGAGTGTGCAAGGTATCACAGTCCTAGTATTCCTGTCAAGTGTAGCATCCTGCTAACTTGTAGAAATTCTCCCTACCTGCAGGTTATTCTGGGGATCAACGCTCCCGCGGCCCGGTCCACGACCAGGCCTCCCGGTGGATCAGGGCCTGATCAACCAGGCTGTTACTGCTGGCCGCACGTAGTCCAACGTACGAACCACAGCCCGGCTGATCCGGCACTAATTTTAGGTATCTGTCCAGCTCCCTCTTGAAGGCAGCCAGGGGCTTATTGGCAATTCCCTTTATGCTTGGTGGGAGGCTGTTGAGCAGTCTTGGGTCCCGGACACTTATGGTGTTTTCTCTTAGTGTACCAATGGCGCCTCTACTTTTAATTGGGGGTATTTTGCACCGCCTGCCCAGTCTTGTACTATCGTAGGGAGTGATTTCTGTGTGCAGATTCGGGACCATTACTTCTAGGATTTTCCAAGTGTAGATTATGATGTATCTCTCTCTCCTGCGTTCCAACGATTACAAGTCAAGTTCCGGGATACACTTATAGGTTTTTTAACCGTACTGGGACTCCTTAACAACAATAACTAGGATAGTCCAGTAGTGGAGAATATAGCATCAACAAAACTTCAGTGTGAGTGTCTGGGAAGGACAGAGCTTGCCTCCTGGCTGTGAGATCCCCTCCTGTGGGGGATTTTCTCATGGTTCTTCTTAATTCCTCTCAAGGCTCATGCTTCGAGCCGCAGGTCATATATTGGTGGTTTTCTTCGCCTTGTCGCCTCTGTCCTCACCGAACACAGGTGTATCTACTACAGTGCGTCGGCATCCTGATTTATGTACCATGGTCTTGTTTGCTGTAGACCTGAGGGAAGACTTGCAATGAAGGAAGAGGTTAACATATGAAAAATTTTGTAACAGCCTGATACCTAGCAATAAAGGAGAACGGGAAGCGCTGGAGTAGCTTGAATTGGTCTAACAAAAGCTTGAGGTAACTTGATCAAGGAAAAAATATCTTATCTTATAATCAACTAATTTTCTTGCAACCAGAGGGAGGACCATCCATGGTAGGAGGGTGAAGACACTTGTTGTTGTTGTTGCTGTCGTTGCTGCTGCTGTCGTTGCTGCTGCTGCTGCTGCCGTTGTTGTTGCTGCTGTCGTTGCTGCTGCTGCTGCTGTCGTTGTTGCTGCTGCTGTCGTTGCTGCTGCTTCTCTCGCTGCTGCTGCTGTCGTTGTTGTTGTTGTTGCTGCTGCTGCTGTTACTGCTTCTGCTGTTGTTGCTGCTGCTGTTACTGCTGCTACTGCTGCTGTTGTTGTTGCTACTGCTGTTGTTGGGGCTGCTGCGGTTCTTGTTATTGTCAACGGTATTACTTATATATGTATTATTCCTGGTACTATTTATAGTCATGTTCCTTCACTAAGCCATGACGTCACGTACTTCCCCGCACATGGGAGGTAGCCCACAGGCCTCTCACTCCCTGCTTAGGCCGTCTGGTGACCAGACGCGCACCAAGTGTTCTCAGTCGCCTCCATAATAGACATCGGCGTTTCCTTCGGTACCATCTCACGCCCAAGAACCTCCACGATAAATGATGGCAGCTTTGGGCAAGTAATTTTCTAAATTATGATTGATGGGAAGTGATATATTTTGACCAACTCGGCGAGCGTTCCGTGAGCAGTGTGTAGGCCTAAGCTCAGCCAGCCAGCAATCTCCAGCATCTCTACACATCTTTATAGTGCTTCCTGGTGTGTATGCTTAGTGCTTGTGGCTTTGTGTGTGAATTTCCAAGGAGTGGATCAGAGTTCCATACAAATTAAGCCAACCCAGGTTAAGTCAGTTTGTACAAGAGAGACCCTAAGCCAGTAAACCAGCCATCTGCTCTGATTCAATACGTCTGTGAGATCACTTGCAAGCAACTCCAGCCGTCTCAGTGTGACCAATGTCGAGGATTAAGCCAGCAAACCTAACCCAGCTGAGAGAGAAATAAGCCAACCCAGTTTCTCTTAGAAATTACAGACTCCAGTGTGCTGTCCTCACTCTGTGCTACCAGAAAATTACTGGCCAAAAAGGAAATTACCATCACTGTTGCATAGGTGGCTTATTGTGGGTTAAGCCAGGCAGTATCCAGCCAGCCAACCACCAGTGTGGGTAGCAGGCAGCAGTTTTAACATCTGTATTATGCACGCCATACCCATCCTGTGGGCGGTAGTCAAAGAATTACACACACACATAATGGGACCAGGGACTGGGCCGCAAAGTTTTGATAACTGAACAAGTTACAAAGATAATAAACTATTTACATGATTATATCTGGTCGCAATGATAGTGAGTTATTTATGCAAAGAGCACCATACCCTACACCACACCCTACATCACACCCTACACCACACCCTACACCACACCCTACACCACACCCTACACCACACCCTACACCACACCCTACACCACACCCTACATCACACCCTACACCACACCCTACACCACACCCTACATCACACCCCTACACCACACCCTACACCACACCCTACACCACACCCTACACCACACCCTACACCACACCCTAAAACCCCCACACCCTACACCACACCCTACACCACCACCCTGCCCACCCACCAAGCCGCCCAGTATCACACACTGTGATCCATCCATATATCTGTCTTCTACCATCCTTATCTAGAATAATAATAATAATATCTTTATTTCTACCAGTACATGTACAAGGTATACAGTCCTAGCTTGTTATGCAGAGCATTTCGGGCAAATTAGGTCGGTTTTGCCCCAGGATGCGACCCACACCAGTCTACTAACACCCAGGTACCCATTTTACTGATGGGTGAACATAAACACCAGGTGTCTTAAGGAAACACGTCCTAATGTTTCCAGCCCTGCCGGGGATCGATCTCCGGACCTCAGTGTGTGAGCTGAGAGCACTAGAATTCGAGCTACGGGACACCTATATTGCCAACAGAACAAGTCAAGAGAACTGATCGAGTGAGAGCTAATAAAAAATCCTAGTGTCCGTTGGTCTTCGGAAAGTGATTATATTGAGAATATTTGGTAGAGAAGTTCAGCCTTGTGTGTGCACCTAGGTCAGCCTGGCAGGCAGTGAGACATGTCCGTGAGGTACGACCCATGTGTGGGGAAGCACGTGACGTCATGACTTAGCGAGGGAGCATGACTATACATGGTACTATGGATTATACATATACTTCACAATTAATACTGTTGACATTGCAGTTGCTGGTGTCAGGAGTGCAGCTAGAAGATCAGTGCAGAGTTATTGTTGTCTTCAAACACTAGGTAATCTATGTTAGGAAGTATTTCTTCAGTCACAAGAGTTGTCAGGAAGTGGAATAGTCTGGGAAATGATGTAGTGGAGGCAGGATCCATACATAGCTTTAAGAAGAGGTATGATAAAGCTCATGGAGCAGGAAGAGTGACCTAGTAGCGACCAGTGAAGAGGCGGGGCCAGGAGCTGTGAATCGACCCCTGTAACCACAACTAGGTGAGTACATGTGCTGCTACCTGTGATAATTTATGTAACTGTATTTATAAGTACCTGTACCTGAATAAACTTAACAAAATTCGCATCAAATCACACGCCCCCCCCCCACACACACACGCGAACAGTGTTGCCAAGTGTTACATGTGGTAGCGTCACGTCGTTGTCACAGCAGCAGCATGAAGGTCACTGATGAGATCACTGAGAGCATCCCAGTGCTCGCACGTGTTTTTCTCATCCTCACTTTAATGTCAAATGGACGCGCCTCTCTCTCTCTCTCTCTCTCTCTCTCTCTCTCTCCTCTCTCTCTCTCTCTCTCTCTCTCTCTCTCTCTCTCTCTCAGCAGAGGATATAGACGGGAATCAGACAAGAACAGCAGCAGTAGCAGCAGAACACACAACAACAGCAGAAACACAAATTGCGACAGAGGCAACAGGTGCAAATAGAACAACAGAGACAACAGGCTCAGAGCAACAGAGACAACAGGCTCAGAGCAACAGAGACAACAGGCTCAGAACAATAGAGACAACAGGCTCAGAACAATAGAGACAACAGGCTCAGAACAATAGAGACAAAAGGCTCAGAACAATAGAGACAACAGGCTCAGAACAATAGAGACAACAGGCTCAGAACAATAGACAACAGGCTCAGAACAATAGAGACAACAGGCTCAGAACAATAGAGACAACAGGCTCAGAACAATAGAGACAACAGGCTCAGAACAATAGACAACAGGCTCAGAACAATAGAGACAACAGGCTCAGAACAATAGAGACAACAGGCTCAGAACAATAGACAACAGGCTCAGAACAATAGAGACAACAGGCTCAGAACAATAGAGACAACAGGATCAGAACAATAGAGACAACAGGCTCAGAACAATAGACAAAGGCTCAGAACAATAGAGACAACAGGCTCAGAACAATTAGAGACAACAGGATCAGAACAATAGAGACAACAGGCTCAGAACAATAGAGACGACAGGCTCAGAACAGCAGACAACAAGCTCAGAACAACAGAGACAGGCTCAGAACAACAGAGACAACAGGCTCAGAACAATAGAGACAACAGGCTCAGAACAATAGAGACAACAGGCTCAGAACAATAGACAACAGGCTCAGAACAATAGAGACAACAGGATCAGAACAATAGAGACAACAGGCTCAGAACAATGCAGACAACAGGCTCAGAACAACAGAGACAGGCTCAGAACAACAGAGACAGGGTCAGAACAACAGACAGGCTCAGAACAACAGAGACAACAGGCTCAGAACAATAGAGACGACAGGCTCAGAACAGCAGACAACAAGCTCAGAACAACAGAGACAGGCTCAGAACAACAGAGACAACAGGCTCAGAACAATAGAGACAACAGGCTCAGAACAACAGAGACAACAGGCTCAGAACAACAGAGACAACAGGCTCAGAACAACAGAGACAGGCTCAGAACAACAGACAGGCTCAGAGCAACAGAGACAGGCTAAGAACAACAGAGACAAGCTCAGAACAACAGAAACAACAGGCTCGGAACAACAATGACAGGTTCAGAACAACAGAGACAACAGGCACAGAACAACAGAAACTACAGAGTCAAAACAACAGAGACAACAGGCTCAGAACAATAGACAACAGGCTCAGAACAAGAGAGACAAAAGACTCAGAACAGACAACAGGCTTAGAACAACAGACAACAGACTCAGAGCAACAGAGACAACAGGCTAAGAACAACAGACAACAGGCTCAGAACAACAGAGACAAAAGACACAGAACAGACAATAGGCTTAGAACAACAGACAACAGACTCAGAGCAACAGGCTAAGAACAACAGAGACAAACGCAGAACAGAGACAACAGGCTAAGAACAACAGAGACAAACGCAGAACCGAGACAACAGGCGCAGTTAGAACAACAGAGACAAAAGTGGTACGAGAGAGCAGACACAAAAGTATAAACCAAAACAATGTGACGCTGACCATCATGTTATCCACACCACTGTAAAAAAAAACTTCACAGCAACGGTGGAGGAGGTAGCAACGGTGGCGGAGGCAGCAACGGTGGAGGAGGCAGCAACGGTGGAGGAGGTAGCAACGGTGGAGGAGGTAGCAACGGTGGAGGAGGCAGCAACGGTGATGGAAGCAGCAACGGTGGAGGAGGTAGCAACGGTGGCGGAGGCAGCAACGGTGGAGGAAGTAGCAACGGTGATGGAAGCAGCAACGGTGGAGGAGGTAGCAACGGTGGCGGAGGCAGCAACGGTGGAGGAGGTAGCAACGGTGGAGGAGGTAGCAACGGTGATGGAAGCAGCAACGGTGGAGGAGGTAGCAACGGTGGCGGAGGTAGCAACGGTGGAGGAGGTAGCAACGGTGATGGAAGCAGCAACGGTGGAGGAGGTAGCAACGGTGGAGGAGGTAGCAACGGTGGAGGAGGTAGCAACGGTGATAGAAGCAGCAACGGTGGAGGAGGCAGCAACGGTAGAGGAGGTAGCAACGGTGGAGGAGGTAGCAACGGTGGAGGTAGCAACGGTGGAGGAGTAGCAACGGTGATGGAAGCAGCAACGGTGGAGGAGGTAGCAACGGTGGCGGAGGTAGCAACGGTGGAGGTAGCAACGGTGATGGAAGCAGCAACGGTGAAGGAGGTAGCAACGGTGGCGGAGGTAGCAACGGTGGAGGAGGTAGCAACGGTGATGGAAGCAGCAACGGTGGAGGAGGTAGCAACGGTGGAGGAGGTAGCAACGGTGATGGAAGCAGCAACGGTGGAGGAGGTAGCAACGGTGGAGGAGTAGCAACGGTGGAGGAGGTAGCAACGGTGGAGGAGGTAGCAACGGTGGAGGAGGTAGCAACGGCGGAGGTAGCAACGGTGGAGGAGGTAGCAACGGTGATGGAAGCAGCAACGGTGGAGGAGGTAGCAACGGGGGAGGAGGTAGCAACGGTGGAGGAGGTAGCAACGGTGGAGGAGGTAGCAACGGTGGAGGAGGTAGCAACGGTGATGGAAGCAGCAACGGTGGAGGAGGTAGCAACGGTGGAGGAGGTAGCAACGGTGGAGGAGGTAGCAACGGTGGAGGAGGTAGCAACGGTGATGGAAGCAGCAACGGTGGAGGAGGTAGCAACGGTGGAGGAGGTAGCAACGGTGGAGGAGGTAGCAACGGTGGAGGAGGTAGCAATGGTGGAGGAGGTAGCAACGGTGGAGGAGGTAGCAACGGTGGAGGAGATAGCAACGGTGGAGGAGGTAGCAACGGTGATGGAAGCAGCAACGGTGGAGGTAGCAACGGTGGAGGAGGTAGCAACGGTGGAGGAGGCAGCAACGGTGATGGAAGCAGCAACGGTGGAGGATGGTAGCATCGGTGGAGGAGGTAGCAACGGTGATGGAAGCAGCAACGGTGGAGGAGGTAGCAACGGTGGAGGAGGTAGCAACGGTGGAGGATGTAGCAATGGTGGAGGAGGTAGCAACGGTGATGGAAGCAGCAACGGTGGAGGAGGTAGCAACGGTGGCGGAGGTAGCAACGGTGGAGGAGGTAGCAACGGTGATGGAAGCAGCAACGGTGGAGGAGGTAGCAACGGTGGCGGAGGTAGCAACGGTGGAGGTAGCAACGGTGATGGAAGCAGCAACGGTGGAGGTAGCAACGGTGGAGGAGGTAGCAACGGTGGAGGAGGTAGCAACGGTGGAGGTAGCAACGGTGGAGGAGGTAGCAACGGTGATGGAAGCAGCAACGGTGGAGGAGGTAGCAACGGTGGAGGAGGTAGCAACGGTGATGGAAGCAGCAACGGTGGAGGGGGTAGCAACGGTGATGGAAGCAGCAACGGTGGAGGAGGTAGCAACGGTGATGGAAGCAGCAACGGTGGAGGAGGTAGCAACGGTGATGGAAGCAGCAACGGTGGAGGAGGTAGCAACGGTGGAGAAGGTAGCAACGGTGATGGAAGCAGCAACGGTGGAGGTAGCAACGGTGATGGAAGCAGCAACGGTGGAGGTAGCAACGGTGATGGAAGCAGCAACGGTGGAGGAGGTAGCAACGGTGATGGAAGCAGCAACGGTGGAGGAGGTAGCAACGATGATGGAAGCAGCAACGGTGGATGAGGTAGCAACGGTGGAGGAGATAGCAACGGTGGAGGAGGTAGCAACGGTGATGGAAGCAGCAACGGTGGAGGAGGTAGCAACGGCGATGGAAGCAGCAACGGTGGATGAGGTAGCAACGGTGGAGGAGATAGCAACGGTGGAGGAGGTAGCAACGGTGGAGGAGGTAACAAGGGTGGAGGAAGTAGCAACGGTGGAGGAGGTAGCAACGGTGGATGAGTTAGCAACGGTGGAGGAGGTAGCAACGGTGGAGGAGGTAACAACGGTGGAGGAGGTAGCAACGGTGGAGGAGGTAGCAACGGTGGAGGAGGTAACAAGGGTGGAGGAGGTAGCAACGGTGGAGGAGGTAGCAACGGTGGAGAAGGTAGCAACGGTGGTGGTGGCAACGGTGTAGGAGGTAACAAGGGTGGAGGAGGTAGCAACGGTGGAGGAAGTAGCAACGGTGGAGGTAGCAATGGTGGAGGAGGTAGCAACGGTGGAGGAAGTAGCAACGTTGGAGGAGGTAGCAACGGTAGAGGTAGCAACGGTGGAGGAGGTAACAAGGGTGGAGGAGGTAGCAACGGTGGAGGTAGCAACGGTGGAGGTAGCAATGGTGGAGGAGGTAGCAATGGTGGAGGAGGTAGCAACGGTGGAGGAGGTAGCAACGGTGGAGGAGGTAGCAGCGGTGGAGGAGGTAGCAACGGTTGAGGTAGTAACGGTGGTGGAGGTAGTAACGGTGGAGGAGGTAGCAACATTGGTGGAGGGAACAACGGTGGTGGAGGGAACAACGGTGGTGGGGGAACAACGGTGATGGAGGGAGCAACAGTGATGGAACAATGGCGGTGGAGGGAACAATAATAAACACAGCAACAGGTCAACTATAGTGACAATGTGTTCCAGAAATCAAAAATATACTTTTAACCAAATTGCCTTTCTTCTTCTTTGTTCATTTCAAAGAACTCATCACATTACTGTAAAAAAATATATATTAATTATTAATGTTTATATTAAGTTAGGTTATGTCAGGTCATGGCCGCCAACCTTGCACATTCCATGTCAGTTGTTCCAGGCTGTAGTTGGGATGCGCCAGACAACACTTGTACTACCATTCGGTTCTTTAAAAATGTTAAAATGATCAAATGTAAAGACAAGATAAACATTACTTACTTTAATGAGACTTCCGAGTCTGATTTCTCCAAGTTTGTAACATCTGGAGCTAGTTACTGGGAGCAGCAGAGAATTCTTCAAATTTGAATCAGTCCCTCGCGACGTGTTTGTTTTTAATTAATTTCATGGATGACAATACTTATTCTAAAATAGCAGATTTAACTGCGCAAATTTTCTTAGTTCTGGAATATGTTCCCAGGGTAATGATCGCTGAACATTGTCAAAAGTATTTGTGACTGAGGGAAGCTCATCAGGTTTGATTTTCAATAACGAATTTGCTTTTAGAACAATAAGTTCCATGTTACTAGGCATCTCAGGGATTTTTTTTCCTTCGCCAAGTAAAAAATGGGTTTTTAAATGTGAGTCTGCCTTCTTCTTTAACAAAAACTCTAAAACGATTTTCAAATGACTCTTGCAGTAATATGATTTTTTCAATATATTTTGTGAAATTTCCATTATCTTCAGCACATTCACTCTGTTCTTTGAAGTGTGGAAACTGACTCGAATTCTCATTTTCAAACTGAGAGGTAAACAGTTTTAACTTCGTCTTGACTGCACTCATATCATTTAGTAAAGAAACAATTGTTCTTCTCCAGCAGTTTCAAATTTAGATCACTGAGACAGGTGCTCAGCATCAACTAAAAATGCTAAATGAAATAGCCATTTGTCATCACATGAAAGATCTCTTTCCTCAGGCAGCTCATTCTTCTCTTCTAAAAAAAACTAGGAACACTATTTTTCAGTTTCCAAAATCTAGTGAGAACCTGTCTTGTAGGAAGCCGTCGCATCTCACAAACAACAAGATGATCACCATATTCAAAATCTAACAATTCACAATATTCTCTGAATTCTCTTCCGTTCACTCCTCTTGCTCCAATTTCATTCACACATTTCACAACCAGTAGCATAACATGGTGCAAATTTAAAGTTTTTTCTCACACACTGACTCTTGCTGTACAATGCTCTGACAATTTAGTAGATAACGACCTAAACAGATTTCAAGGAAAGTAGGAGTTCCAGCTACTCTACCTATCATTGACGGTGCTCCGTCAGTACAAACACTGATGAGTTTACTAGAACCTAGCTGCAGATTTTCTAAATATGACTTTACTTCATCAAATATGCCTGAACACTTATGTGCAGCTCTGGCTGGGATACAAGTATCTTCGGCAGGTTAAGTCACCACCACCAGATGTAGACCAAACGAAATGTAAACTTAGGCGGATTGACTATTATCACACCCTGCGTCACTATGTACTGGAGTGTGATAAAAAAAATTAATTTAGAGACAACTCAGGTGTTTAAGAAATGCCAAAGTATTTTATCCACAATGGTATATTACGAACCATTCTGAAAAAAATTCTCTGACTTTGCTCACTGTAAATGAAGCATTACCAGTGTTAGTTACCATTTTGTCCTAGGCACATGTCGATTAGACACAGGCCTTTTTGTGGGTTTTTTTTTTTTTTGGGGGGGGTGTGTGTGTGTGTGTGTGTGTGTGTGTGTGTGTGGGTTGGTGTGTGTGTTGTGCCCAAATTTTAAGTCACATAAATAACTCATTACTTTGTAAGGGTTAAACATGAAAATTTCATTCAGGAATTTTAGGTAATGAATTTTTCCTGGGGGAATTTTTTCCCTCAAATCCTCTTATTTCCCCCGTTTTTTTTAAATTGGACTGAAGAAACCCTGATAAAATCTCCTCCTTCTAACACCCTAACCTGAGCCTCATATTCCTCAAAAAAACCCTTTACAACCTTATTTGCAACATCTGCCAATTGTCCTCATCACTCTATATATCCCTTTTTCTAAACCCCATAAATGCAATAAAAATTTCCCTACCTTTTCTAAATACTGTTCACATTATGTTTCAATGTAAAACTTGATCTCACACCCCTACCCACCTGAAGCCTCCTTGCTCACCCCCAATCCACATTTGTTTACCTCTAATTTTTTAAATAAAAACCCCAACCAACTTTTCCTGGTATACTCAGTAAATTTTTCCCTAAAATTTTCAATCCTTTTGTCCCCTTCCCTTTATTAAAGGGACTATACATGCTCTCCCCAAATCCCTAGGACCTTCCCCTCTTTCTACTTTATTAAAAAAAAATACCAACCACCCAACACTTATTATTATATTATAAAATTATTTTTTTTATATATATATATTATTATATTATAAAATATAATGTGTGCCGAATAGTAAAACGATCATTAGCAAGAACTCTTTTAAAAATTAAGTCCTTTCTAAAATTTTCTCTTGTCTTTAAAGATATATTTTTTCATTTACTTTTAATGTAAAAATTAATAATTTTGTACCAAAAGAACCTTAGAAACTTACCCAACCTTTTATAACAAATCAATTTAATTTACCTAAACCAAGTAAATATTTTTAGATAAGTTTTCAATAATTTAAAATAAAAAACACTACCAAGAAAGCATTTCTATTTAAGCCAAAATTTGGGAAGTTTACCCATTCGGCCCAAAAATATATTATATATAAATAATTAAAAATATATATTAATTTTTATAATTTTTTAAAGTATGGCAAAAACAATAAAATATACAGAAAACATAAAATTACATTTTTTTTAAAAGTTTTTTAATTCCTTCTAAAATAAAAATTTTTATTTTTTTAAAAGGAAAAACAGAATTTCCGCATTTATTTTCAAAAGGATTTTAATTCCCAAAATTTAATTTTTTTTCTTCCCTCCTTCTCCCCCTCTCTCCCTTTTATTCCCCTCTCTCTCTTTCTCTCTATCTCTCTCTCTTCCTCTCTCTCTTTTCTCTTCTCTTCCTCTCTCTCTCTATCTCTCTCTCCCTCTCTCTCCCCCTTTTTCCCCCCCCACTTTTGCTCATTTGTCGCCCTTACTGAACTAAAAAAGCACTCATGGGTTCGTGACGTAAAACAGAAACAACGGTGTTGTGTGTGCTCTGTTTTTTTTGTGTGTGTGTGTGTTGTGTGTGGTGTGTGGTGTGTGTTGTGTGTGTGTAGCTACAGTAGCAGAGTTGTACTTGTAGCGTCTAATCTTCAGTATTTTTCATCATCCAAGATATTTTTTTTTTCTAACCTTCCAGTGGGTGTAGTAGTGACTACCTCGTCTTTCAGTTTATTCCACTGATC